TCTCAAATATTTTTTAGATTACTAATTTTAAGATGATTTCTTATTGTCCTTCGAGGGATCATGTATCCTCTTCTGCAGCCACATACGTAAAATATTTCGTTCAACAGTACAGACTGCAGCAACTTAATTTTTCTTCAAACCATTGTGCTTTTTTTTGGAAGGCATTCGTAGTTGAGATATCTTAACAAACTAGAAATGTGATAATTAAAAACCTTTTAAAAGCTAAAGACAAAAAGAATAAGATTTTTACAAATAAACAAGTTAAAAGAAGTGAAGGTAATAAGGCTTATCTCTCTTGTGTATAGGTCTACATTTATATTAAAAGTATATATATTATAAATATTTTTATCACAAAGTATAAGCAAAATTTAATTAGTTTTATATAATACAGGAAGTAAATAATCCGTTCTATAAAAAACCTATTTATTTTACGTATATTTTAGAAAATATTTACGATTTTTTACGACGAAATTTTATTATTCGAAAGACACGTGCTTTCTCTCCAAGACAAGACACGTTATTGGTGGGATGATGCGCAGAGACGCGCACAGACATAAACTAGTTAGAGCCTGTATAATGTATGTGAGTAAATAAATTGCGTTAGACAATGTTAAGTGTGTTTTTTATTTTTTAAGCCTTATTACCCGCCTTATTTACCATAGGTATCATTTACAAAATACGCGCATTACAGAACATAATCAATGTCGATGATGTATTCTATTCCTGACTGAAGCAGTATTTTTCGCAACATCACATATAAAACAACATCACGTTTAATTGGAATAAGCGAACTTAATGCTCACCGATGACACATCTTTTGAACACCTTAATCTGGCACATTAAGATCGTTTTCATTTTCGCTAATTTAAATTAAGTAAAAATACTAATAAAAATCTATAAAAAATTATAAATGTGTTTTTGAGTCTATAGAATAGAATTATATAAAGAAATATTCGCAAATATTTATTTCATTTGTTGCGTATATAAAGAGAAACGCGATAAAAAAATTAATTTGCATAAAAATTTGTAACTTTTCCGAAAATAAATTTAAGAAATTAACACTTTAGGATTTTCTTATCACGATACTTGAACCTTTAAGAAAAAACCAATATTATACATTTCAATTCGTCAAAGAGTAATAATGATTTCAGTATGCGAAAAAACATTAAACATTATAGAACATTATTTTTTCAACCAAGAGGCGAGTAAAATCATTAATATTTTCAAATTTTTGCAATATTAATTTATTATAATATAAATTTTATTAAAACTGTTACAAGGAAAGATTAGCTATGCTTGAATATTCTTTCTTTTTATTCATGATTAATATTTGATAGTACAGAAATCGTGTATGAATGTGTATAGCTAAAAATAAATAAACTATTTATATAAAACTTTTTTTATATATTTTATTTAATGTGAAGATGATAATATAAAATAAAATAAAATGAAAATCATTTGTATTTTACGTGTTTATTTTAGACTTTGTTATATCTTTATATGATAAACTGGAGTCATAAATAAACATACAATAATTTTACCTTTTTGTTATATGACATTTAATTAAAATGGTTTTAGATCTTTGTGATCTCATGCTGTCATCAATTATAATGTTGTTTTTAGCACGTAAACCGAAAATCCTCATTCTATCAGCTTACAAAAAATTTTAAATTAAAAATCGGATGGGATAAAAAATGACTCCAATGTGCCAGATTAAGATTAAATATTAGCGGGATTTAGAGTCGGTTCTCGACGATAGAATGTAACTACACTGGAATCGAAGTGTATTATTTTAGTTGAATCTTTTTTTATTCCTTACCATTTTAAGTTACGTCATTTAAAGCATTTAAACGTATTAAATTTAAACGTATTAAATTACTTACGTCAAATTTCTTAAACGTGTTAAATTTCTTAAACGTGTGATTTCTTAATGTGACTTAAAACCATAAAAAATGTGTAAGAAAAGTTTTAACCGAATTTTTTAATTTGAAAAATTTGAACTTATGGATTTAAAAATAATATACTTAGATTCACAGTGTCATGTCTCATATACATTCAGGATTTAAAAATTAAAAAGTCTCAGCGTGTGCGATATACTTTTTATCATTTATTATTCTCCCACAAGAAGTTACTCACTACCAATATCCTTATACGATTCTTATTAACCAAAATTAATCACTGATGATATGATACATATCATTATGAAAAATGTTAGAGTAGGAAAGATTAGATCTAAGTGGCCCCAGGAGTATGTGGCTCATGTGCTTATTTTAGCGTAACAATAAATACAAAATCGTGAAGTAATCTCTTAAGGACATAGATATTTTCCCCTACGTTTCATTAAAATCGAAATAATATTCCACTCTAAAAAAAGGCATGTAAAAGATTTAATTGTTGCCGCTTTTCCGCGATGCTGATTAGTTTTCTCGCTTCATGTGGGCTGCAGCTTGCTTCGTGTCATTTGCGCCTATCAGGCGCAAATTATCAGGCAAATAACTGCCATCGCGTTGATTAGATGAAGATAAGAATTCAGAAGAGATATAAATTATAAGAATAGAGAATATAAGGGTGGAGGAGAAAGAGAAAAAAGGAAAGGCAGACAAGGAGAGAACCATATTATTTAGGCAAAAATAAGAGTAAGAATAAGGTAATTTTATAAGATAATTTAAAAGGTCATTGTAATGATAAGATGCTAAATAGCGCGCGCGAAGCGCGCGCCTGTAATGTTCTAGTACAGCCAAAAAAATAGAAAAACTGACTTACTAATAGCAAAGATTCTCTCGAAATTTTATAGTTATTAGTATTTTTCATCGTGAATGAATAAAATTAAGTGACGTGTTACTAGCTAAAATGAAGTTTCTTGCAAGTGTATGATATACTGTTTCAGATAATAAATAATTTTCATTCATAAAATGATTGAAATCGATTATATGGGCGGACGAGGTAAAGTTGGCCTATAATTAAAGACTGACAAGAGAACTGAGATCTTTTATGAGAAACTCAGAACTATTAATCAGGATACGTATTTTATATGTAGTCCCTGCTTTTTGTATCCTGTATTATTGGGCAAATAAATCCTGTATAAGAGCAAGATGGCTGCATTACCACATATTTGCAATTTGATTATTATAAAACAAAATGTATGGTCAATAGAATTGTGTAGCAGACATTAATATTTAGAAAAAGACTACCTCTATCATGTTTGTACAGTCAGTCACAACAATTAGTTGTATGAAAAATATTAGTTGTGACCTCAAAATTCTGAAATATGGAGCATTTAGTTCCCCTTTATATTTGATAAACAAAATAAAGAAAAAGTCGAAAGTTATCATTACAGAAAATATAAAGTTTCGCACATATTTCGTTCAACAAATTTCGGTAAAGATCTCTGTGTAATTCATCATTGAATCCGAGTTATTGTCTGACCATAATCTAATATCGAGCCACTACTTACTGCCAGCAGTAGACCGATTTGAAAAATCTGTTAGCACGTAATCATTTGACGCAAAATTGATAATGAAATCTCATATGAATGCCATAAAAATCAAAAGCTCTAGATAATGCATGTCACTTTTGTATCTTTTATCAGCTGTCTATTATCGCAAAACGATGAACTGATATGCGAAGGAAAAGAATAATTTGCGCCCGTGTGTCGTATTTTAAAAAGCGGTACGATATTTGATCGTTTTAAGCGCGTCAGCTGATCTTGCAACTTGCACTGCCAGATCTGATCAACGTCAACGTTGCAGACGACGTATGTCTATATACTAATATTTTCCGTTATCACGACGGCAATATAATTGAATTATACGCCTCTCGGTTAGCCGTTTAACTCGAGAGCAGCGACGACGTGGCCAATATGCATAAATGTGAGATACGCGATGATATCACTGCCATGGCGCGACCAATAATGTGGCTATCAATAATGTGTTTCAAACGTGAAAAAAACTAAAAATAATATTTTAAAAAATCTTTTTCTCTGCGCTCTTCGCTTACAGAACCATGTCACAAAGACACATTGCTAATGCTCTAATTCATCAAGTCGAAATTAATTCATTATTTCGCGTAACACAACACACTCTAAATGAAAAATTTACGCTACTTCTCCCGCCAACCTTCATTCTTGCAAAATAATATTTAAGCACGTAATAATAAAACACTAGGCATTATTTGAGGTAAAATTTGGTGCATATAATTTATTAAAAAGAAGTATGCTAACATACTAGGCGATATGCTTCTATAAAGCAGTAAAATTAAGAATATATTTTTAGACGAGAAAAGATAGCGCATTTCAACGGGCAGTGGTTGCCTCGCAAAGAAAATTAATGCAGAATTATCCTTAAGATGGAAATTAATTTGTATCTCGTAGAAGTAAAATGCGCGAGTTATGAGTTACTCGCATAACGGATATGTCAAAGTGAATACAAAAGATATCCCAAATTCTCCACATTTCTTTACTTAATGTAATAATTTTTAGTAACTTTTACATATGTGCAAATCAAATTAATTACAATCAAATGTGTTTTAAATGTGACTAACAGTCACGAGCAAAAATGTATCTAATAGAGCAGATTTCGAGACTAGTAGCTAGATGGTAATGACTAGATAAGTTTTCTAGCCAGTCACTAGCTCGTGACTGGCTAAATATTCCTACTCAGTCTTTTGAATGTCAGAATGACTATTTAGTAACTATACCAATTACATAATTAGATAATGGCTAGATGAAAAAGAGTACACAGTAACGAGGTAGAAAATCATCGGTAAATCCTGAATAGAAATTGGATATCAGAACTGTCTAGTAACTATACCAATTATAGTTACAAGTTTTTTTTTGTATCTAGCTACTAGATAATTTTTCTGGTACAGCCACTAGGAGAAGTTACATTCCCAGCTAGTAATGATGTAAGACCCAACTTTTCTGTGTCATTACTAGATTCAATTTTTGCTCGGAGTATTGTGAATTTAAAAAAACGAACTGAAAACATCATTTCTCATTACAGTACCACCGAACATCGACGATTCGCAAAGTTCGTCGGACGCGATTGTTCGCGAGGGCGCTAACGTGAGTCTCACCTGTAAAGCGACCGGAAGTCCAACGCCTAGTATTCGTTGGAAGAGAGACGACGGTTCCAAGATTTCAATCAACAAAACTTTAACCGGTATGTACACGGTATGACCTAATAGAAATTTTATAGTTAACAAATCTATCATGTGTCGAATATAAAAGGCTTTCAAATATAAAAGAGGAGGAGTTGAAAGTAGAATCGGGTCTGGTTGACTCAAGAGGGATATGTCATATGTATGCTTTGTTTATATATTTATCACGAGAGGAACAGTGGAAATGAAATTACAAAATATTTCTTTTAGAAAATTATTACTTTTTCCTGTATTTTATTAAAATCGACATAATATTATAGTTGAAATTGAAATAAAATTGAAAAAATTGATTTAAAATCGAGCAAGTAGTTTTGTCATGAAACGAATTTCGTGAAAATTTGATGAAGCTTGTTCGTGCAATCAGAAAAATATTTAGTCATTCGAGAGTTGAGATATTTGCAAATAAAGTTAATACTTTTTATATATGTCCCTTGGAGTTGGTGTGCTATTTTTAATTTCTATTTATAATATCTTCAAAACTTATATGTGAGATTTTGATAAAAAACTACTATGATATTAAAAACGAATATATAGCCATTATGTACATATTTCAGAATTATTGAGCGTCTAGAAATTTGGTATTAAGATAGCTATATCGTATTATCAAGGGATAGCTATATCGTATTATCAACTCATTAATTTCCTATTTATCAAACAAATTTACGTTTTTACACATTTACTTCATTATCCAGATATCACTGTTTTGAAACAGAATTGAGAAAAGTATGTTTTACATAATATTACGTTTACGAAAAAACTATTATTTTTTATTTTTCTGATAAATGTTTTATTTGTGCATCATCTAATAGAAGCGTACAGATAATAAAAAGAGGTATATAAGTATTTAAATACATGTATTTAATATTATAGTATTTAGTATTGCATATTACTATATTCTGAGTATTACTATAAATTATGAACTTTTCACCGCAGTATTATGAAAACAAAATGATCAATAATTCTGAAATATGTACATAATGGCTATATATTCATCTTTAATATCATAGTAGTTTTTTATCAAAATCTCACATATAAGTTTTGAAGATATTATAAATAGGAATTAAAAATAGCAAGGGACATACATTCTGTCAAGAAAGTACCGGGAATTGTTAAATAAAACACACATATTTCATTTATTCATCAAAATTTATTGGGTCGTCTTCAAAGTAGGCTCCATTTGAAGCAACGCACGTATGCCATCGTTTTTTCCAATCTTCGAAACATTTCTTATAGGCGCTTTCCGGGATGGCCTTCAGTTCACGCGCCGATTTTTGTTTCATGGCTTCAATCGACTCAAAACGGGTACCCCGGAACGGCAATTTCAGTTTTGGGAAGAGAAAGAAGTCACACGGTGCCAAATCTGGTGAATACGGTGGTTGTTCAAGTACATTTGTTGAGTTTTTAGCGAGAAAATCAGTCACAATCGTAGCTCGGTGAGACGGCGCATTCAGGTCTTTTGGAACGAGTCTTGCGGCGACGCGTCTCATACCCAAATTATCGATCAAAATCGAACGAACGGACTCATGGGACATGTTAAGTTCGTGTGCTACCTCTCTTAAGCTGAAATAACGGTTTTCGAGTACAATTTCCTTCACTTTTTCGATGTTATCTTCGGTCAAACTTGTCGACAGGCGTCCAGAACGAGGCAAGTCTTCGACGACTTCTCGACCCTCCTTGAAGGCTTTGTACCACTCATATGCACAGGTTTTTGATAGTGCTGAATCACCATAAGTCTTCTGCAACATCTTCAATGCAACAGCACACGAAATTTCGTTCGCAACACAAAATTTGAGACAAATTCTTTGTTCAATATTTTCACTCATTGTAAAAATCGGCACGCACTACTGACATCGACTGACTTAACCAGCTGTTGTAAACACACTGGTTGACAGATTCCACTCTAACTTGGCATCATAATTAAGGACAGTTGTACCAACCTGGAAAAAAAAATTTTTATACCT